GCGGAACATTTCAGAGAACAGTTCAACTGGCCTTCAGCTACTCTACAACTACCCTCGATTCCCAGACAATGTGAATGGAACATTGAAGTAGGTCCCCCAACTCTTGCTGAAGTTGAGAAGGCTATAGTTAATTTGAAACAAGGAAGGGCAGCTGGTCCAGATGGATTGGCTCCAGAAGTCTTTAAGAATGGTGGTCCAATTTTAGCGATTAGGTTGACTAATATTTTAGCTAAGATCTGGGAGTTAGACGTTATCCCATCTAACTGGTCGCAATCACTTATCGTCCCAATATATAAGCAAGGGTCAAAATCATCCTGTGACAACCACAGAGGGATTAGTTTAACAAACATAGTATCTAAAATACTGGCCTCGATAATTATCAAACGCCTAACTAAGACTCGTGAACTACAAACTCGAGAGAACCAAGCTGGCTTTAGACCTGGTCGTGGCTGCATCGACCACATATTCACCATTCGTCAGGTTCTAGAACACAGGCATACTTATCGGCGTCCGACAATGGTGGTCTTTCCTGACTTAAAAGCAGCATTTGACTCTGTAAACCGCGAGATTCTGTGGCAGTGTCTGTCATTGAAAGGCGTATCTCAGAAGTGCATAAACCTTGTGAAGGCTCTTTACTCGAACACTACTAGTCGAGTGAGAGATTATGGCGAACTGTCATCTGCTTTTGCAACTTCAAGTGGTGTCCGTCAAGGCTGTCCACTTTCTCCACTTTTGTTTAGCTTCATCATAGACCTACTGATGGAAATAACATTCTCGTCGACTGAATTCTCGGGTATTGATCTCCTACCAGCAGGTCCACTTATCGACTTAGAATACGCAGATGACATAGTCCTGTTTGGTGAAGACGCTGATAAAATGCAGAGTCTTCTGGTAGCACTAAGCAACAATGCCAGAATGTTTGGAATGCGCTTCTCTCCCTCGAAATGCAAGTTGTTGCTTCAGGACTGGTCTGCGTCAACACCTGAACTAAGGATAGGGAGTGAAGTGGTCGAACGCGTTGACAACTTCACTTATATTGGACGTCTGATCAGCTCTAACCGTTCGGGGCCTGACGAAACCTCCGCACGGATTCAGGAAGCTCGTTTGGCTTTTGTCAACTTACGTCACCTTTGGTGAAGGCGAGATATCTATCTATCAATTAAGGGGTGAGTATACTGCGCAGCGGCTCGTTCTTTTCTACTTTACAACTAAGAAACGTGGCCTTTAAGAGTAGAAGACATTCGTAAGCTGCTAGTATTTGGTCACAAACGCCTTATAAATGCTGCTCGCATCTACTGGGATCACCGGGTAAGTAATAATGAGGTTAGACTCAGTTGATGAGGTTGTGAATCTTCGAGTGAGTTGGTTGGGCCACGTATTATGTATGCCTGAACACCGGCTACCGCGAAGTGCAATGCTAACCGGTGTTGGAGATGGTTGGAAGGAAGTTAAGAGCGGCCAAACCAAAGCGTGGCATCAATGCTTGAAGCCACTAACGTCTAGTCATAGCCATGATGGTAGATGCAGATTACTTTGTTGGGGTCCACATGACTATGGTAACCAATGGTTGGAGACTGGGTGACATGGCTCACAATGGCGTCTGTATATACTCTTTGTTTTCCCTTAAACTGTGAGATTAAGGTTGCTTTATATCTTTCTTTCTACGAACTAATTCTTTCTTGTATCATATCCTTATATACAATCTTTCTTTTATATATTACTACCATTGAAGTAACTACTTCCATGAATTTGGTGTTCATCATGTGCTAATGAGGTGTGACATTTTGGACCGATGCATACATATACCTGGTCCTGTGTGGTAGCCGATTGCTTTTTTATTTCATTCATTATAACTAACAAGAATCGCAATGATTCAAAGAACACTAATTAATCCCCTATTCTTAAAATCAATCAATAAAATTACTGGGAGTCCCGTTTATAGAAATGACTAATTTTTAATAATTATTTATTTACTTGATTATTGAATAAGGACTTTTACAATAACTGAATACATTTCCTGTTAATAATACAGGGTAATAAATTGTTTTTGAGATCCTTTGCTATAAAGATTAGGGAAAACAAAACCTACTCACGTCGTAAACAATCTGAAATGGAATAACTCAATCAAAAATCGTCACTACTGAATATGTAAAAATTTCAGTTGAACAGGTAATTTAATTGATTTTTAAAAATCAAATTCGTTTGGAATAATCAATTAAATCCATTTGGTAGAAATTGGACTAAAATGTCTGATATTTAGTTAGAAATACTACTCAGTCGCTAGGATTGTAGTAGCAGGAAAGGGGCTAACATCTGAGAACGACTGGTTGCAAGGTGCTTTAACAATTATTACACAGATCTACTGAAAATAGATAATTGGATAAACTGATTGATGTAAATATTAAGTCCTGATAAGCAAAATGATATAGAAATTAAGGTTGACTGTTTTACCGGGGACTGAGGGATTTATATCCTACGTAAGTGAAAATGTTAACAGAAAATCGACCCAGAAAGAACTTGAATAAGTGTTATTAGTAAAACATCAAAAATGTCTTTTCATGATCAGTGACTACAAGTCAAAGAAACATGAAATTAAAGTTGATCGTTTTTTATAAGCAGATATAGACAAAGGCTATCATTGGAACGCGCGCCTCATCCTACTTAGGACTCGTCATCTGGTTATAACTACACCCCAGAGTTGGTGTTCACTCCTTACTCGAAACCAGTACATGTATCTTCAAACAGCACCACGTTATTCACCTAGCTATTGAGTTCAGATAGTCATTGGCTTGTATAATGGGGTGAGATATGATTCATTTTTATATGAGTTATTTGAATCTTCCCATTGATGTCTCCTGTTAGCATAAGCGAACATCAAATCTAGGATGCAGGTACATCCAGCTGACGAGCCCAAACTGGGAGGAAATATACGTCCTGGATCCCACTGATGGTCACCATTCATATCTGCTTATGACTTAAGGTAATATCTACTGAATCCGCATAGGATCCACATATGCCAAAATGTTTGATCATTTGTAATCCTAAACTTCAGTGGGAAGATTCAAGGAAACCAATACAAAAATGAATCGACTGTTCGTTATTTTTGTTTACATTTTGCATTAGACCAGTAAAAATACATAGTTTTCGCGACTACCCTAGCAACCACAACAACAGAGAAAGATTATTCTATACGCATGGCGCAAACGTAAGGTTTGTTGGTTTCTAAAACAATTTTCGGAAGTTTTAGTCTACTAATTATTATAAATTTATTTAGACGATAAGAGAATAAGTGAACGTAGTTATGGTGCGCACTTTTTAGAACTACAAAAAGTACGAATGCATGGGAAAATGATTGGTACTCCAATTTATCATTACTAAGCAACGCATTATCAGTACACAATTTTAGGAAACTAACGGGAACTGGTGTTTTCACCGTAACTGATTAAACATCAGCAAAATATCCGGATGTTTTAAAGTGAGCAGTAATTCTTTTTATCTCGGTTTTACTGTTTATACTCATACGACGTTATTGTCAACTACAAAGTAGTTACTATTGCTGAGTGCAACTAGCTTCAAAAAATATTTGAAATTATTCTGAGATGTTTGATTATGAATATCAACAAAACTGTTATAAAAGCCTGACATACGAAGAATAATCAATATAAGATCATTTCAACCGATTAACAAGCCCACGATAACAGAAGAGAGAACAGTGGCATAGTTTCTATACGCTTTTATGGTATTTAATCCGGTTTATTGAATAAATATTTACTCAGTATGATTAAATAAACATTTAATTGAAGGATGAAATATTTTACTGATGATAAATACAATTTTACAAAAAAAGGAAAAGACAAAAATATCATCCGACCTACACAACAGTAATGACAATTCAAAAATAATCAGGTTTTTTCGAAGGAAAGAATTGAAACAGAAAGGAATATAAGACAGACTGGGAAAAAAAATTTCGTGAAAAATAAAAGTATAAAAGTAAAGAATCGGGAAAAAAGTGAAGAGAAGTGGAGCATTTCATCTTTTGTCTGCTATTTAAATTATGATTCTTTCTTTTTTTATTAGAAATACTATTTCATCGTAATGAACGAATGTATATCTCTTTCTCTCTTTGTCTGTTCTACATTCAATTTGCAGAAAAAAATAAACATAGCTGAGATAATTGAAACGGACTGATATTGTATCGATATATATATATATCAAGATAAGAGAATAACTGACAAAATACATACATAGAAACAATAAGTACACATACATCATCATTGTTTTGTAATTGCTTTTGTCCAAGATATTAGAAATACTCTTGCACTAAAGAGAACTGTAAAAAAGCAGTAGCAGAAGTAATAATAATAGTAAATAGAAATGCGAAACAAGAATAATTTATGATCGATAAGTGAAGATTTCATTTACAAACAGAGCAATTTTTAAAAAAGAAAAGGTACAAAGAGAGAGAAAAGTAACAATGTAATACAACAACTAACCAACAAAAAATCAGTTCCATTAAAAACTCAATAAAGTCTGAGTGATATTTAGCGATTGCCACTTTTACCATTCTTACCGATATACGAATATACAAGTCATTTACTCTCGATAAACAACAGTATACAATAACAGTTGAAATAACAGCAATGATGATGTGAACAATCTTTCAACAAATTAATACTACATGCATTGCCGCAAAACAAATATTCATTGGTGAATTCAGTAGATGAAATAGGAGTGAAGAGAGTAGGGGCTAATAACCGATGATGTAGAGAAGGAAGTTTTTCTTGGGAAACAAAAAATAGCACTCTGGAGTTTCGACAGAATAAAGAAATATATCATTCTAATTTACTGCAGAAATGATACCACACATGTAAATGGATAGATAGAAGAATAGAGAAGAAATGTTAGACACAAGGCTTCACAAGTGTAAAGAACGGAAGACGGACATATAAGTGATATTATATATCGAACGTAATGTCATATGCATCGCCCCCGAGCATGATTGTATGGCCCAAAATTACGAAATCTATAAAGAGTCAAAGTATAAAGACAAAAAAGCAATTAAGTAATCCAGATGAATATTTTTTTACTCAAATAACAATACTGAAGAAGGCATTTAAACGAAGTTTTACGCCAAGAAATAACCTCAGTTAGAGAACTGATTTTAATTAATGATAGAGAGGAACAACTGCATTTTCGTTTTCAGTTTGATTATTCGTATAACCCAAACATAACCCATGAAATTTTCATCTAAATGAACTAGTGGAAAATCAACAATTCGATGGTAAATCAGAACAGAATTCATTGTCAATTACGTAACTACGCATAGATTGGTTAAAATTTAGTGACTGATAAAAAAATGTCAAGTCAGTAATTCATATAAAAACTCTTTATCAACTTCTACATACACAACAAGATTATCTGAGATAAATCGTATTGATTCAAAAGCTCTGAGATACTGTGAGAATGCTAGTAACGTATAAAGCATAAGTATACAAATCTGTACTTGGTATATTGGTCATTCAATAATATATATATGGTTATTTATACAATCTGTTGAGTAATATAGTGGAATTTATCGTAGAAATCTTAATTTTTATTCACATAAAAACAACATGAGAGGTCAAGTGTACACGAATAAGCCTTCATTAATCAAGAAGGAATATTTCAATCGATATGTTGAACTTTCACAGATATGTTTCATTTAATGAACAACATTGCATTTGAAAAATATTCAAGGATTGAGTCAACTAAACAAGATTTATACTTTTAGAAAAAAAGAAAAATATATGCAAATATAATACAAAATAATTTAGCACTCTCATAATAGCACTATTCTATTACCATAATTATGGTTACTCCAGTCATTGTTGACTTCCAGGATTGGAGATCTCCTGTTGTTGTTGGCGAGCATTTCGTTGACGTGTCAATTGTAGTTCACACTGACTCTGACGATGTTTGTCCACTAGATAAGAAAAGCTTGTATCTAACCATTGTTTAATATCTGCATAGGTGACAATAATCACATTTTGACTATCACGGCTGACTAGACAAAGACGTTCAGGTGAAGCAGCTTCAACCTGAAATAGAAATTGACTAACTCTTTACATGGATAATGAATGGAAAATAAAGAATACATTTAATAAATTAATGGAAAATAGATTGGGCAATGGAACAAATAAATCAACAAAAGTTATTATCCAGTGATTACAATGGAAAAAAAAATCCAAGTCGAATAAAGATGCAAGTGGTATTGGGTCAAGTTTACTAATCCATTCTATTTTCAATACAGTATATTAATATTTCTCACTTAATATCTGAGGTAAAACTTATATAAAAATTTAACCCAAAAATAATGTGGTTTATTCACTGAATTAAAATAGTATGATTTAGAAAAAAAGACAATCAAATGTCAAACATATTTAAAAAAAGTAAAAAGACTACACAAGGTGAACATACACTGAATAACAGGGAAATTAAAATATGTAATATTATTAACAACCATCAATTGAGTTGGCGTAAATTATCAAATAACAGGTGAGCGACGATGATGCACAATGAGAACTAGACTTCTGGCAACCAAAACCATGATTTAGGAGTATTGCACAAATTATTGGTTAACATCACTCCAAAGAATGTCATCTAATAATCTATAAAGAACATTAATTTATCCATTGGCTATTACTTGTTGATTAACTTCATAAAGTAATCGAGTGAACGATAAATGAAATATACTACTGAATAAAATAAAGCATTAAACAGAAATCAGTATACCAACTAAATGCTTTTGTTTAGCATGTCATCAAAGTGATATGAAAATAAAACTACTTTAACTCAACACATGTAAACACTGACAAATTTGAGTCACGGAGAGAGAGGAAGAAAATGTTTATATCATTACAATGTGAACAAAGTACACTCTTTTTTGGAAAAAAAATTAGACATCTTCAATTAACAAACCTTTGGTTAATTAGAATAATAAAATGTTTGAATTTCTATCTATGTAATTGAATGTGAAGATTAAAATGTATACTGGATTAAGAATCAGATACACTACAATGAACCCAATAATTTTAATGAAAATATTTATCAATAATATTTACTTATTTGCAGAGCATACATTTACTGACTAAAAATGTAGTCTCATCTATAATTCTACTGAACAGATGAAAAATAACGTACCTTGTTCAATGTAGTAATAATATGTGCAAGATCTAAGTATGGAGCACCAAGAGGATCAGATTGGTGAAATACGAAATCTCGAAATAATTTCAACATATAACGATCACCTGTTTCAGACCATTCTGGGGAAGTACCCTGACTATAAGACAGTTAGGAAATGAAATATTATTTACTTATGGTATCTTGCAACAATCCTGAAAAATTGGTATAAAAATTAACGTTGGTTCTGAGTACATATATTCAACTGAATCTGACTATCGTATTTTCTGGCATGTCAAAAAATAGGAATTATGAGAAAGAACATATTAATTTAACATTGTATACTTTGTGGGAAAAAAGGCACTTGATCAGTTTAAAGAGTATTCCTAATGTTTGCAGAGTTGGATTGAACTATCAACTTTAAAACAAGATTGCAGGTCCCGAAATAACTTGTAGTGATTTCATTTATAAAGTGTTTTCACATCATCTGGAAACTTATTCAAAAAATCTATACCTGCTTAAGTTTCAGTGATATTTCTAGGATGATTCGTATTAAAAACTAGATAATGTTTATCCACAAAAACACTGAAAGTTGGATAATGATCAGTCAATATTACGAGTTTATTGTAAAATTCTATTTCAAAATGACTATATTTGGTACTAAATATCCAGAATGTTCATCAAATGAAGGATACACGGTCAATACAAGTCGATTTAATTATTCATGTACTACAGGTTTTCGATCAAGTCCAAATCCATAAGTCACTTTGTTCGACATTTGTTGATATTAGATGAATACTCACACTTGAAATAGGCGTGTATTGTAGATAAACCTACGATCCAATGCAAAACAGATTAAAGGTTCAAAACTATTTTAATAAAAATAACATTAATTATCTCTCAGTTTAAAGGAAATATTAGTTGCTTGCATAGTAGGGGAGTATTTCAATGGAGAGACAGCTTAGTAGTAGTGAAAGCAATTAACTTCCAACCATTGTCACAAGTGCGAATTTAGTTCCATTTGCCATTTTCGGTCAGCCTATAGTGGTATCATTTGTTTACATAATTAAAATGTGGTTGGTAACCGCTTACACGGACCCAGAACTTGGTATTTGGGTAGCATTAAATCTCTTCGTCTTTTGCAAAAAAATTATCTTCTGGCCTGGTGAAAACAACTTATGTGGTGAAAATATGAAATCAAATCTTATAAATAAATGGATTTCACTGTAGCAATGAACATTAATTCGTCCCCAAACAGATAACTAAACCATTTTATATGAATAGCAATAACACAGAAGAATACAGAAAAAATGAAGGGAAAATAAACAATTAACTAATAACTCGACAAAAATTTGACCAATTTGACATAAGAGCATATTATAATATTTAACAACGGCTAATATCGACTTTTTCAAGACAATGGATAACTCGATATTCCTCAATAAAAGAGCATAATTAATAACTTTCGCAAAACGTTTTTGTACAACACATGTACTGACAGACAAAACTGTCACATGACATACACATTCACACATTTACTTACACATAGAATGTAAGTAGAACGATATGTTAAACCAAAATTAATCTGCAAGTAAATAATACCTACTGTATTTTTTCTTATTACAAAACAATAACTATGATGGATTATTACATGAAATATTTATAAATTGTAAAACAATAATTAAACAATGATTAATGCGGTAAAATCTACATAATGTAATGTAGCATATATTCTTGTGAATCTTAACAAATATATGAGTAGCATTACCGATTGATCCGAGGTAAACACAACTAGGCAAATTACCATAGAATAATAAAACTGTTTAGGATCATTTTGAAAATTTGTAAAAATAATACTGAAATTGTTATCAATTGAGGTAGGTAGGATAACAAACAGTATTTAATAGACTTTTTGTCTGAATAGACACATTAATGTTCGTTGTAAAATACGTCTCAAAAACAGCATTTATTAAGCAGAACAAGTGATGAAGAACCAATGCAAATTATAATTTACCAATATATGAAAAGAAGAATTGTGAGAAAATAATCCGCGATTTAATGATAAATTATTACAGTTATAAAGAATAAGCGTAAGATACAAACAAAATCCTAAACACAATCGACTAATCTATACCATAAAGTAGGATTAAAATAAGGTGATCTTAGAATGTTTTTAAAAGAAGTGTCTGTAAAAATTACTTAAAATATAAAAGCGGTTGAAATAATTTCAACCCAAAGAAAATGAACGAAATACCTGCTAAAAAACACACTCACTCGCAACGCTCCACAATAGATTGAAGTTTACAGATGAGTCGGAAAAGTCTGTCACATTCCAGTTCCTAAACAGTAAAATGATATATCGAATGGTTTATGAGTGAATTTTGCAAATATTTAAAATATATATTGACATTAAAGGGAATAGTAAAAGAAGATACAATGTAGCCATACATTACAGTGTCATTTGTCCTTACGAAAAACAGTTAAATAACTTATCAAAACTGATAAACTTATTTAGAAGTCAGGTCCTATTCACAAGGGTTCACACACTGTAAGTGTTAGGGTCACTTCAACAGAAGTTGATGGAGCAGGGTTTATCTTCCGACTTAACATTCAAAAGCCAAGTGAACTAACTAATTATATCGCTGCTTCGTGTATGAAAAGTCCTGACACATTGAGTAATAATACGTGAATGTCGAATATACTGAAGACAACATATGTAGTTGAATAATATCAAGTGGATTAATTTTCAAAATATTCAGCGGTTAGCAAGCTAGAAAAAATTACGTATACAGATAAGCAACTTATGATTAAGAAAACAATGGTTTAAATAATATAAACGGAAGTTGATCACAAGCAGTTGATGTCATATGATTTATTGTATGGTTTAGTTGCAAAGGTGATTATTTATGAAATTATTACTTTTCTACCAACTTTCTTAAAACCATTCTTTGTAAATAATTTAGGCTGTAAAAATTTAGAGAATATTCTCGAATTACTGCTTGTTATTTTCTTAATTCAAAACTAACAAATCAAATCAAATCTTCGCGTATTCTAAATGTCTGAATTTTTGATCTTCTTAGGTTTTATGAAGTAAACTTTTTACTGTAGTTCATAAATTAAGCAACAATCATAATATCTATACACCTATTGAGCCTAGAACTACGAAATATAAGAACAATTAAGTTTGCAAACCCAACTAATCATCGTTATTCAATAAATCAAAGGTAGGTAATGTATATCAAGTCTAAATACAAAGAACTAGGTAAACAAGACAATTTGTTCAAGCTTTTAATCATAACTAATTCTCAATAAAGTGTCAAAACAGAGAATCAAGATTCACAGCATTCTGTTTTACATTTCCTTGTTATATTTATTTATTTACATCGTTTATGAATAAACTGAGAGTCGGGACATATATTACAATATGCATAAACATGTAAACACATCAAATATTATATTTCAATAGCAATAGTCTGAAAGCCTATCATTAAGAGAATATATACCTGGATATTCCACCTATTTTGAAATTGTATGATACACAAACCTACTATAATTTTGTAGAAAGGCACAGAACACTTTGGCATACAGTATATGACTTATTGCATAATAATATTAAGCCATAAAAGGTGAGTAGAGTAGATTATAAAAACTAACAAAGTATACAAATATTATTTTAGCAGAAAAATCAATAAATTGAGTGACATCGTTCACTAATATCTAGATGGAAGTAGTAGTTAGTATATATTAACAAAACAAATTGCACGATTACAAATGAAATGAAGTTTGTGAAATAAAAAAACAATACTAACAAGAAAAACATAAAATTGAAAAATCTTTAAACTTAAAGACTACAACTAAGCAGTAAAAATACTGTAATATTGTATCATAAGAAAATGAGTTCATGTGTTATAATCATTGATGAATTCAATATTTGAAGCACGAAACAAGACAAATCCGTAGTGTGATGATATACGGGAAAAACTATATACGAAACATAGACATATTAGAATATACGAAATCTTGTATATGTGAGCTTATGGATCAAAACGAGTTATCATCAATCACACAGTGTCTATGCATAACAATAAACCATTGAGTTGTAATATAATAGATATCAAAACAAACGAGTTCTATCTGCATTTATTCCTTTTATTGCATACTTTTTCATCCCTAGCAGTCATAGAATTGTGAAAAAACGAATATAATGAGTTTAGAATATTTATAGTATGTGAATAGACTGTTTGAACTGTAACAGATACAAATTACAGTAATGAAGAAACTAAACATTTACGCAACGTACTCACCAATAATAATTGACTTTCCAAGAGATCTGAATGATCATATAACCTTGTCAAGTGATCGAATGCAAATGGTGCAGTAGCGCGCATTAGTTGATCTGCTCCTGATATCTGTCCTGATACTAAACTACGAATAAGAGTGACTAATTCTGGTCGATATGCACGCTGAAGTAGGTTGAATGAAGAAGCCCGCTGGCTAGCCTTTATAAATAAATTAATTAAAATGGTGAAAAACTTCAACGGTAATTATGATTTCATAGAAAATGCGATAGAACAAAGTGTTACGTTGTGTGGATAACACATGAGAAGTTAATTAAAAGTTACTCTAGGAAGTAGTTTAAAAATTGGATTCAGAATCTTTTATACCTCAATCACAGGCACAATTTAAAAAAGGCTTTTAATTGTCTTGATAATTAAATATATTAGTTGTAACTTAATGAAAACCCTTTCACGTAGATATATTGAACTTATTGTGGGTCATGAAAGAAAAAAACAAGGCTTCAAGACTTCCGTCTAACCTAACAGGATCAGTCAGTAACATCAAAAGCAAATTAGCATCTTTGATGAGCTAAGAAAGGTATCAGGGTTGATAACATCCAGGAATTAGCTGATCATATCAAGTAGTTATTGAGTAAGACAGATTTGGAGGCGATACAACCTAGGTTTTAAAAATGTCAAGAACGACAAAAAATTGTACACTAAATGAATTTCTTTGAGAAGAAGAATATTCACTAACCTGTACAGCTGCAACTGTACCACAAGCAACTCCTATCATTAATTTGCCAAGTTGTATAAAGTCAGCTGCCTATAAAGTAAAACGACGAGTTATCAGTAATAAAGACCATACAGAAATACTTATCGTCAATTAAATTAAAACATATATGTATATAGAATTTAATAAAATTCAGCATTAGATATCATGAATCAGTTATTAGGTTGAATGTTTGAACACTATTATTAGTGGTTTCACAGTTTAAAAAACTTTACCTTTTTTATATTTGTGCATAATAATAATGATAATAATTTTCTATGGTGAAGAAATATCTGACGATTTCATGAACAACCATTTTATTAGAATTTTTCGAGATTATTTAACAATACCAAACCGATATGTCTTGCATATAATATAACATTGGTTTCAATAGGCAAATACTAATAAGGAAAAATGCCGTTTAATACATAACCAACGTAATACTAAGCATAAGTATGGATTGAGTCAAGCTGCTACATCATATGAACACAGTGAGACAACAGTAATGAGACAGATAGTAAATAAGTCGGAATAATAGTAGTAACAATGAGAATAAGAATGAACAAACATAGAATTTGGCTCAAAAAGAAGAACGGGCCAAAAATATGAGATACCTATGAAACTCAAGATCTAGGGGAATCTTAAGGATGAATGCATATACGTCACTGTAACTGACATTAAGCAATGATACCTAAGGTAACCAGCCATTGTGACTGGGTGGCGAAAAGACGAACCTTTTCTAATAAAAACGGTGAAAACTGAATGATGATAGAAATTGAAACAGAACTTTGACAGTGGGCTGGTTCAGACAAACGAATTTCGGGTTATCACTACAATCAATTATGTTACAGAACTTGTCTGACAAGTGTTCCATAATTTTACTCTAATAGATATTATACATATGTATAATATTAAAATTGCTAACATACCTGACTTTCTACTAAATTGGTATCTTGTGCAGAATAGAACAGAATATCCTTTAAACCAAAACAATTGATTCGCAAACTATGGAAAGATATAGAAAGAAATTGATGGAAAAAGAATAACAAGCTACATAATTTTATGTAAAGAAAAGTGAGTGTATTACTCAATGACAGAGCATCAATGGTTTGTCTATAGGCATTACAACTCTAATATGTGTTATCATACCATAAACAGATGCTTATTGAAGCAAACAGAATAAATAGATCCTAATTGTGTCATTTCAGTTTTAAATAGATATTTACTACACTAGTAAAAACCATCAGTCATTTTCTCCCGGTCAAACTATAGACAGTTATATAGGACTTAGTTAATGAAGCAAGTGATGAAATACTACATAGTTTATTTAGCAAAACAGGATGAAATTATGAAAACAAATTACTGTCAAACTAGATTTATACTAATTCCACTTAATTCGCATTAATTTACATTAAAACCCATATCATTTTAAACATATGAACTAATAAACATAAGACTAGACCCATTAGTAAATCGCTGTTTACGAAACTATTAAATATAGGTTGTTTAAATCTTCTCATTGATGTCTAGGACTGCAATCGATCAGACTCTTCTTGGCATACGTGTACCCTATGTTAATTGTCTCGATAATGCCAGTAAGTCACAAGCATAAGGCACAACCAACGTGTATGAATTAGAATTTAAAATTTACCGCATTACACAAAACAGTGGCTATCTGGATTCGGTAGCTAAGCAAACAACGCGATGACGTTTGAAGAGAAAGGTACTGGGTTCCAGTCAAGGAGTGAACACTAACTCTGGGATGTAGATACATCCACGTGATGAGTCAAAAATAAGACGAAACGCACGTCCGGGATTCCACTGCTAACCACCATCCATCACAGCTTAAAATATTTGAGACCGATTATTTTCAACGAACAAATTTGATTCGATATAATTTATTCAATACTAGATAGTTTCAAACAAAGCACAAGCCTTTCATATTGCTTAGAACTGAAAGACGCGTTGATTCATTGTATTAATCGTTAAGAGTCGTTTCGACTGTTTGGCTTAGAATCTTTCGTTGAGTCTAACAAGTCAGTAAATAATTAAATATATGTCACTTTGATGTGTTAAAAGAGAACGATGATCAAGTAAGAAGACAGTAAGGTAAAATTTTACTTTTAGATTAGTGTAGAAAAGAGAATATTCTTGCTCAGTATTCTTTGTAGAATGAATTATTAGAAGGAAAATAACTAGCAGTTTATAAATTTGTATAGGTAGTAGATTTAACACTTGAACAAAACATATTACGAAAGTGAGTCGAGGTAGTCTGATTACAATAACAAGTGAACGTTATGTTAGCAAGGGGTGCCGCAACTCGAAACGATGTACAAATGTGCCAAGTTCCACATTGCGCATGACTGACTGATTGAACTTCTTGTTAAAAGCAGACACACAAAAATGTCTGGAGATTTAGTACTTAAATAATTGCACAGAAAGTTTGTATATGGTAGAAATAAGCTGATGTTATAAAATAGTCCCTTCTAAAAATAAATATTCATCTATTGGAATGATTTCATATAATTAAATGGTCTAAAAAACCTGAGAAAGCAGAGTTTTGCTCAACAATATTTGCTTTAATATACACAGTTACCTGCAATGAAACGAATAACAACTTTACATACCTTTAAAGATAGTTTTAATCAGAAGTACGAAAATTATCAACAAATAGTACCAATAGTGTTTGTGTTTGTTTGAGTGACAAGCAGAAACATTCAGGTTTGACGTCAGATGAATATGAAGCGCGATGTTAGGAATTCGACCGGCCAAAGAAATTAAACAAAGACTAGAATGTCAGACACATTTCTTTTAAAATTCAACACAGAAGCCTACAGATTTTTTTATGTTGTAATCCCTCCAAAATTAAATAATTTTCTAGTGTGATTGCCATTTACTCGAAGTAAACAATGTATGATATCACATTCATCATAAGTTTGCAGTACACACATAACATATGACATTTGGATATAAATTTTAAAAAATGTAAAGATAAAATTATAAAATTTTAGTGCTAAAAAACAGAATTCTACCGCGGTCCATCTTGTAATAACACTTTAGTAGGATCCAGTATACCACATGATCGGTGAAATGTTTGGTGAATAAAACGCAAACCACTGGTTAATTGGATTAAATATGACCACATAACAGACTCATGAGGCATTCCGAGATCAGATGGAGCACCTACAACCAAAAAATAAATAAATAAACAGAACAATATCAATGCATGTAATTTAATAACTACTTGACTAAAGGCTTTTCAAAGTATATAGTGCAACCACAAATATACTGACGTTTTTCTTACTGCGATTCCTAATTCCATTCAACCTTGTTATTTGGAACATAATTACGTTTCTGTTCAACCGTGTTCTGATATGGGTACTTGTCGAGTGAAGTATTGTCCAAGAATACTAAGCACTAAGAGTAACTAGGTTATAATAAGAGAAATCATAACAGCTGGCAATACAATGTTTGAAATTCGAAAGAATGTGAAGAGCGAATTCATCCGTATTTGTCTCACTTTTGCGGGACGCGATAACTTGCAGGGATGAATTTTTATATGATATTTTTCTTTTTTGGATTTATTTTATCCTATATAAGTGTCTACTGAATATCGAATAAACAAACTGTTTTACAGTAAAAAACCTTTCAATCTCTATATCTACTTAATACAGCTTATGTAACCATACAGTCGAGTACACTGACATATGAATAGTTGCAACGTTTCATTTCATTATATTGTTGATGTTAATAAACTTACTTTTTATGGCACTATGAGGTAACACTGTACGACCAATACTGAAAGGCGAAGTAAAACTAGTTAATTTCAATGGATCACTCATATGAATTTGTTGTAGAGTTGATGAACAAGGTATGTATTCATAAACCAGGATAACCGCTACAAAGCACAAGTAGATTTACTTGAAGGAATATTATGTTAATGTGTGCACTATTTATAAGGATATTTAATAATACAGAAATGTTTCATAAAGAGCCAGTGAGGAGCAAGTTATACTGCCAGAGAGTTGTCATGATAATAAAAGTAAATCACCATAATACAACTGAAATGTAATAAAACCTATTAGTTAGCTTACTGGAATAGATTCGGATCTAGGAAGACAATAGAAATATTAAATACGAAGTTGACTCATCCTTGTGTCATGAATTTCAGGCATTCTACTAAAATTTAGATCACTGTTTTTTAATACACATCATAAATCGAGAAGTAATTTTTGAAATCATATTCCTAATTCGTCTGAGGTTAACACAAGAAAAGATAGATGCTCCATGTCCTCTAGGTTACAACTGTGACAATGTGATGAAACACTTCTTCATAGTTAATAGAACGTTAGTATAAACTAGCAAATATATAAGTGGACCCGTCTGTGTACTAGGCTGTGAATTACGTTTCTTATGTGGGGATCAGAAATATTATCAACTGCTCACAAACAGAAATATGTAATCTGTTATTTGAAAATTAAGTCTCATACTACAAAGAAATGGTCGTCCAGTTCTTCCATTTATTTATATATTTATTTACTTGAACACATAAATATTGGTACAAAGGGGCACCGAATACATATGCACCAAACAGGTCACTTGATTTGAGTGTGGGCTGTGATAATGCCCGGGTGCCCAAACCAAAGGAGATGGTTTTCTTAGGGAGGCACGCCCGCAGCCTTCGGCCTAAAGGTCTGATCAACAAGGCAGTGAAGCGATGTCAGGAGATGCAGTCACATGGTAGCCGGTGACCAATAATTGGCTCATACGCCATTTGTTCCCTCAGGATCTTGGAGCCCATGTACACCATTGAATTGGAATTAGGGTTTTCCAACTCCCGTAAGTGGACTCTCTATATCCACCGACCCGGTTAAAGCTTCGGACATTCGCTTTTGATCCTCTCAATTTCGTAAACAGTGCCTCCGCCACGAGAAGGCAGTGAATAGGACTTCCCTGGCAGTGGCTGTATACACGTGGCCATGTGAGAGCATTTCGAGAGGGAGAGCTAACTCTCCCTACCCTTGGCCGTACCAGGGCATTTGAGGACCCAGGTTTTCCAGGTTTTCAATGATGGTCTAACTTAGATCAGTTCATGATTTCAATGAAATTTAAGTGTTGAACCGTTGAGAAACTACTCCACAGCTTTCACATGTCACAGAATATATTATTAGTCCTCCAATATTCGTATTCTTTAAGAGAATATTTTAAGTCACAAATTATATGATCACTTATCTAAGCAGTCTTGTTAATTTATGTCTTGGGTGTTTTATTCTCTCCATCGATGCTTAAGACTGAAACTGATCAGTTTTTTTGGCATATGTGCATTCTGTGTGGATGCCTCGATATTGCCACTAAGTCACAAGCATTTCTAAGCAGAAACGAATGGTGACTATTAGTGGAATTCAAGACCCGTGTTTCGTCCTATCTGGAACTCGTTGGCTACATGTACCTGCATCCCGGAGTCCTGGAGTGAGCATCAATTCCGGGATGCAGGTAGATGCAACTAAGTCCCGGACAGGGCGAAACATGCGTCCTGGATTCTACTGACAGCCACCATTTATCTCTCCTTAAAAATCTTTTAAATGCAAACCTCAGAGTTCAATATTTGTATTGGGAATTATTTATTCATTAGTTTTAACATACAATGTACAGAAATATTATTATAGTAATATGTAGTTGTTTGGAGTAAACTTACAGTTATCAGCAAATGCATCAGTGAAAAATACATCCCGAAATCCAACAATAGCAGAATGATTTAAATCAGATAGTTGTTTAGCTAAATAAAAAGCATCAGATGATAGAGCTGCTTCATGATCAGGTGGTAAAATTATGCGTCGAAGAAGCATATATCGACTAAATCGAGGAGACCAAGCTTTAAAACAGACTCCAGGAAGGCCAAATGTAACTGACACTCTTGGTTGATCTAAAATTTCTAGAGGAACGAGGTCAGTGTACGCTCCTAGGTTACGAGGTAATTCTGTGGGGACAGAAAGTTAGGACAAAAGTGAATTAGAATATGCAGTAAAAGTTAACTGAGAATAAATAGCTCTCTTTTCGTACAAAAAATAGATGATATAATATTGCTGAATATTACGTGGTCTACTCCATTACGGCTGAATTATGTGCAATGGTAGTAAACACCCTCTGCTAAATTACCCATCACTACGTATTAGATTTACACCTTGATATTCATAAGATAAATTAAGTCGTTCAAAATAACGAGAAAATTCCAATTGTCTTTAATTTGTTTTTTTATACAAAACTTTCCTTTCATTTTTCCTTTGTAACTCATGAGATTTCAGCTTTTGCTTACCAGTGGTTTCGAAGAATATGTAAGGGTACATTAAACAAACAAGAAGCCAGGTTCTTGAATAAATAAACTTAGTTAGTGCATTAGACATAATTTACACGCAATAGTTATTGGGCCAATCGCTGGTTTTTACATGAAAGGTCGAAAAAGAGATAATAAAGTAGTAACTAGCTGTTGAGTTATAAAATATTGACAACTGCACTGACGATAGTTTTATATGAAGCGAAAATGATGAGGATCGAAAATGTATTTCACTCTGATTGGGAATATTTCAGGTAAAATAACAGATGGACTTTAAGAGTATAGGCCAGAAGTGGGGTGAGATTCATAGTATCACGACTAATAAGATAATATTAGTCTACGGATCTAATTTAAGGTATCTTAAACTCTGTACTGTCTCCAGAAGCAAACTTTTGATATATAACACACAAGAACTTAAAATGAACTAAAGTTGAAAGTGGTTAGTAGCTAGGCTACGGTAACATATTTCTAGTAATGGGATCGCTAGGAATGGTTTTGAAATACGAATTTCTAACATCGCCAGAGAAGTGCATGCATCAAGATCTTTACCAAATACTCGTATAAACACAATCGTATCTCAATGGACAAGGATATCAATCACCAGAAGGCCAAGCCTCTGTATGATTTTAGTTTACGTAATCAAAAACCGTAGTTGTTCGTACTTTATTATTCAAGAGTAAAATTTTAAATTCCCTAGTTACATTTATTTGGAACTCAAAGATCCACCAACCAAAACTAAAGTAGAAATCTTCACCACTAACATTAGAGCAGCTTTCTTGCACGAAGCTGAAACTTGGAGAACTACTACAACAGCCATCGAAAGAATGAGAATATTTATGAACAGGTATCTACGCAAGATACTCCAAGCTCACTGTCCAGAGACCACCAGCAATAACATACTCGGGTAGAAAACAGACCATTTTCCAGTTGAGGAGAGAATTAGGAAAAGATGTTGGAGGTGGACAGGATACATTTTACGGAAATCATTGAATCGCATTGTAAGGCAAGCCCTAACTGGGAATCCTTACTGCAAAAGGAAAAGAGACAGATAGAACACAGTGCATGAAATCGGAAGGAGAAACCAGGATCATAAATAGCACCTGACAACAACTGTGGAGGAGGACCCAGGACAAAGTTGACTAGAGAAGCCTGGTTGGTTGTGTATGCCCTAAAAAGGGACAACAGGCTTGAGCAAAGTACTGTTCTAGATGGCTAACGGTACACTGGAGCACTGACGCGATTAGCATGAGTATGGAGAATGTAAATATGCAACCTACTTCTGTGAATAAACAAAAGGATTCTGGTTTTTGCTTTTGATTAGCAAACCTTTAACAAATGGCAGTACTGACGCAATCTTATATTTTGAAAAGTCTTGTGCAATCTTATTTCACTAAACTATTATAATCCATCCATTTCTACAAAACTTTATTACCAGTCGACATCACTTACTTTCCTTTATGGACTCATCAGCCATGAACAAGCAAGCTTGAAGTTTACTGTGCAGTGCCTGAAATAAAGAATAAAACTTGTGAGTTTGATATTGAAAGGTCCCAGAAAAGAAATGGATTGAAGAAATGTAGTAGTAACTTACGTGCTTGAAGTCATCATCAATTATGATGGGACCAAAAGCAGGGTTATTGAACAAGTTTGGCTTAGCTTCATGAACTCTTCCTGTTCTCATATGAGCTGCAGTGCCCTCAGGAACTGGTGGGACTAGAATCCAAGGAGCGACTTTAAGGCTACCAGAGGCCTGGAGTTTTTTAGTATTTTCAAAATGATGACTGGAATAGAATTGAGAGGCAGTAATGGGAAGAACACACTGGGAGTCACTGAAAGGGGTGAGGTGAGTGTCAGGTCGCATTTCGGGAGGCAATGTAGTGTCAGATTGACAGGAGTTTAGTGAGGAACCTGATGAATTTTGTATATGAGATTGTCCAGGCTGTGTTAGCTGTCTTAAATTCGGTGGTAGAAAATTTTCAAACGAATGTGGAGAGGTCAACATATTGTCAAATGCAGATGTAGGTGAGTTAGAGTGAGTGACGGTTGGATGATTCATTCTATCCGTTGTAAGACTGTCGTTGGCTGTGCCGCCAAATCGATTAGAGAAGAAGGGTGAACAAATCTCAGAGTTTGAGGGGATCTGCCGGCTATCTGGTAAGTTGGAAAGGACACGGGAAGAAGAAACACCAGGACCCTAGAAAAAGACGCGAAAACCTGAATTAGTACACTTTATGAGAATAGTATCTACTTTAGAAAGGTATTGTTGAAGCTATTAGCAATAACCGTATGGTATTTGACCTTAAACCATTAGTAGACTTTCAACCAAAACTAAAATCATTCCTAATTTTGAAGTTCTTTAACTTTGACGTACTTAGGTGAAATAAATGTCTCTAAATTACGGGAGTCTTGTCTGAATGCCGTATAATTCTCATAAATACACTATCTTTCAATCATCATATGTTGCGTTATCATTTGATCACTCCCGATGGCTTATTTAAATACAGTGAATGGCTCTTAGTAAGCATTTTGGACTAAGAATATAGCTTCAAGCCAATGAATATTAACATTACTAAGATCTATCATGATCACATCAAGTAAACTACTCTGATGCTATTATATGACCACTTTCTTCACTTGGTTTTCTATACGAGTTACAGAATCTGCAACCAATCTAGACTTAACGAAAAGCCGTCGAAACGCTTAAAATCAGATATATGATGTAGTTGTCCCGAGATTTTAATAAGAAACGAAGTATCTCAAACAATCAAGCCAAATGGTACAGTCTTGGTTGCAATAACATACAATCAGTTTGTGTAAGAATTCATTAGTTGCACAGCACAGAGGCTTCAATAAAAGACTAGTAACCGTAAGGTTTATGTTAGTTTCTTCGGGACAAGCAGTTCGATTAACAAAATCAGATAAAATATTTATGATGCTCATAGAAATAAATCGGAAGGATATTTGTGATCATCTCTAAAGGGAATGGTGCGAAGGATATGCACAACTTGAATTAAGCTGTTGAAGTCGTGACACATACTCATTAAACTAACATTCGTATGTCAATTTAGACCTTGTGTGAGAAAAATTCAGTTAAGTGAATATGAGGATAATCACTATTACAATCGACTGTAGGCGCTCAGATACTATCTTAACATGCTAGCCGTGCAATTCGCATTGTTTAGTACCAGTTAACGCTTTGAAAGAGAAAGCGGATGGACAAAATCTGTCAGCCACTTGGCAGAGTTGAGTACTCCCGACGTTATGCTCAAGTAAAACATTGCTGACATAGATATATCGGGGAAAAACACACCACAATATGTGCTTTTTACTTGTATCTACCTAAAATGATTATCCTAACAAGCACAACAGATTAACGAAATGGAAAACACTAATAATTCGAGCGAAGTTCATAAGTTACGAAATAAGGTTAATATAGCATCCTGCTGCTGTAACTTTTTCAGGACAGTATGAACACCTCGAGAAGCGATAGATAATGAATATTCCTTACACATAGCATTCTTTATTAGGATGAAGAGAACAAGAACTGAGTTGAATAGGACGAAGTAAATTCTTTTTGATCCACTAGGTTCATGTTGGCTGTTTACGACTGAAGCATTACAATCAGAATTACATATGGAGATCACTCTACTCACACAAACAGTTCAGTTAGAAGTGGATGTGAATATATTTCATTATAGTGAAACAATCTAATTGATTATATTTAGACCTTTAATCTTCACACTAAATTTTAACTACATTCGTATTAATATATTGGCCTCTATTTGGAAACCTGGTTTAAAAGCATCATAGGTGCTAAGTAGCTGGTGACTTCGCGAAATAAAACGACTTCATTCTGTATGGTTTTTGATTGAGCTAAAAGAGACTTACGTGATAATAGTTGATGCATTAACTTACTCGGGGACGGAACATGCTGGCAAATCCATGGTTTCCCGGGACTACCGCTTTTGATGTTAAAGCCACCCTTTCAGGAGCTCTTGTCGACTGTCCATTTTGTGGGGCGGGTGATGCTTTCGAAATAGATACAGTGGATAACACAGAGGGTCTGTTGGTGGAAGTGGTAGTCAGCGAAAGGAAATCCGCTATCCCTAACGTACGGCCAGAAGCTGGACGATGTGTGCTTGGGAAGACAGCCTCACTAGATGCACCAGGAATAGGACGAAGAAAATTCATTTGTGTAGCCGGTGGAGTTATACACATCGAGTTAGTTGGATCATTCATCTGTCACGAGGACATGTTCGAGAAATAACGGTAAAGTGTCATTTATTCGCGTTTACCTGAGTAAGTTGATTTGACCCGAGTGACAGATTTTTCAAAGTGTACGAAAGCATACTGTTCTGGATTCCTGCACCACCATGAACGTAGTTGGACGTCATGGCTTTCACAGTATGATGAATCTTCGTATCTTACGCAATTAAACCAAAATTAAAAGAGCGTCAACAATAGCTCGAGTGATTACTTTTTATCAATAGTGTTCAGCAGTACACTACATCCCCTATCTGATAAAGTGAAGTGTAACGACACAGACTTTGCTCCCGCCAAAAATAATGCTCAAATTAATATAATTTCAAACATTTATAAACTGAATAGAGGTTTGCGTTCGACTGACTTCCGTGCCATGTAGCAATGAATCACCAGTTTTTCTCATTGGGGTTGTAGATGTATACCAAGAAACAACAATTGAACAGTGGTTCTGAAAATTTAAAGTGATATTTTGGGTCCTTATGAAAACATGGGATATAGTACCCTACGTCTTATAAATAGTGATGGAATGTAGTAGCTCAGTGTTTACTCAACCCAATAAGTGTTTCAAGAGAATCTCTCATCTATATTACATTTCTCGCAATGAAATTTCTGCTCTTGAATTATATGCGGTGGTTGAAACAAACCCAATTTCGGTCTTCACTAATAAGGAGGTTGTTTAACCTGCGTTAATCCTGACAGATTGCCTTCCAGTGAAGGTCCAGCTTGTCTTTGAAAATGTTCACTGATGAGGCCGATATCACTTCTTCAGGTAAGGCGTTCCAGTCATTGACTACTCGATGAGAAAAACGGGACCCCACTTTAAATTTATTAAATCGCGGTTTGTGAACCATTTTTTTATGACCTTGGAGATTATTAGTGCTGGAGGGAGCAAAAAGATAAGACATATTAACACCCAAATCATAGTGAAAGATACGAAATGCCAATATAAGGTCACCCCGCGTCCTACGACACGACAAGGGGAAAAAGTGTTTTAAACGCTCACCATAAGAGAGTTTAGAAGGATCTTTTACTACTTTCGTTACAACACCCTGGACACGCTCAAGTGAGTAAGTATCCCTGTGGTGTTTGAATGGACTAATGATACCTTTGTACTGGTTGAATGCTTGATTTCGAATTCTAAATACAATACATTCGTTTGTGCCTGTGTCTTCTTAATTCAATTGCGTTAATCCTTGAATTCCTAATTCATACGACAATTAGAATATTATATTGACGTCGTGATGGAACCTGCAATGGAAAAGTTGGATATTCATTCAACTCCTGAAGCTATTGAGGATTATTTGGAAAGGTTCGAAATTTGGAGCATGACCAAGAAAGACGTTAAAGGTGAGAAAATTGTGGCACATTTTCTGACATTCATTGGGAGAGAAGCGTACAGCTTATTAAAAACTTTGGCATATCCAGAAAAACCTATCTCACTCCCTTATGCAACTCTTAAAGAGCTATTGTTAAGTCATGTAAAATGCACCAGTTTTGAATGCCGTGAAAGGGCGAAGTTTCATAAGATGGTTCGTCAAAATGATCAAAAAGTTCGGGAATTCATCCTTGAATTACAGAAACAAGCTCACAAGTGTAATTTCGGTGATCAACTTCATGTGCAACTGAGAGATCGATTAATTGCAGGAATTAACATACCGTGTTTGGAAAGAGAGCTGTGAAGAATGCCAAACTGTTCATTTCAAGATGCTAGAACTGCATGTATTAACTACGAAGCAGTGGATGAACTTGATATCCAGTCGATGAACATTTCTAATACTTTGCTTAGTCCTCGTGATGAACTACAATCTCAGGGTCAATCAAACTTGCGTTCATTTAACAGTGATTCCTATTCTCGTGTAAATATGAAAGGTGTTTCAACGAGGAATTACAAAGCAAATCACAAAGGTGAGATGAAGTTTGGTAAATGTTTATCATGTGGAAAGTTTCATGCTCGCAATTCATGTGTATTTCGTAATGCTAAATGTTTTAAATGTGGTAAGGTAGGACACATTCAGTCAGTATGCAAAGCTACTGTCCATTTTGCTTCAAGCTGTACAAAATCTTGTAATTTAAATTTAAATAATTCGGATGTTTCTAATGATCATTTATCTTTATCAACGATTTCAAAAGACAGTGCAGAGTCATATGGCAGTTCAGAGTTAGATGAAATCCAGAATTCTTGTGAGACAACAGTTCCTAATCAACCGATTTATCAGAATTCTCATGCTATTGTGCCAGGTATGACTTTTCCTAATGATTCACATATTTTTAATGAAATTACTTGCAATTCTGAGGAAAATATGTTAAATGAACCTAATCATGATCGGAAACCTGATGTGGTTTGGATAGATGCTGGTTTTTCTAACGATCCTACGCTCTGCAATGACAGTCCTAATGAATTTCATGAGAATATTTCAGAAGAATCAAATCCTAATGTCGTATCATATATTACCTCTCCTCATAATGCATTTGATCGTTGTGAAAAACCTGCTCAATGCGAAGCACGAGTATTAAGTGACCTCGAGTTTGATTACATTTCGGATGATTTCATATCAACTGCTGTTTACCCTTATCACAAAAACAGTTCTAATGTTTACTCTAAACAATGTGAGAAATATGTTTTAAATGAAGCCACATTATTCATAACTTGGGGATGTAAAGATCCAACATTATTTCGTGGGGTAGGATAGGATTGAAAAATCTATGGTTCAAATTCTAGATATTAATGATTTCAGTACAAAACCGATATGCTGATTGTATACAATTCCAGGTGAGTCTGTTCTGATTTCGTTTGTTAATTCCAATACTAATGAGCACTTTCTAGATACTACAAAGTTTTTATCTTATACAATGTCAGACAGACTCAGGATGAACTTAACAAGAAGACGTGCAACCGATTACAAACACTTATACTTCTATTTAAGCTGTGGCGGATGTGGTGTTTGAATGGACTAATGATACCTTTGTACTGGTTGAATGCTTGATTTCGAATTCTAAATACAATACATTCGTTTGTGCCTGTGTCTTCTTAATTCAATTGCGTTAATCCTTGAATTCCTAATTCATACGACAATTAGAATACTATAATCCCTTGCCAGACATGAGCTAGCCGCTTAGATACAGTACTCGAAATGTAGTCTCACATAGGTGGGATATAAAATTCGAAACATTTCCTTGTCAAAAGATTTGAACGCTCGGTGAAGTGACCATGACGCACGAAAACCTTTGACAGCGGCTGCGATGCAATACGTATTTGTTTTTCAGTCATGACTCATTATTACTACTAAGTCTTTATGCTCTTGAACGCATGGAAGAGGTTTACAAGCAGTAGTATAATGGTAACTATTACCGTGACCGATGTGCATTAGCACACTCTTCGTAGCATTGATTCCTAAGCCCCAACCTCGAGCCAATTTAACTAAATCGTCTAAGTTGGCTTGTAGATTCAAATGATCAGCCCCACATTTTGTTGTTCTCCAGATTTTGACTTCATCCGTAAACAATAATGTCGACGACCTAAGCAACAGCTGTAACTCGTTAACGTAGAGAAGGAGGAGCAGAGGGCCTAAGATGGTGCCCTGGGGTACACCACTTTTGATCGGCTTCCAATCGGATAGCGTTTCTTTGACCTTCACTCTCTGTCTGCGGTCACATAAGAAGTTTCCTATCCACTCCTGTACAGTACCTATTATTCCGTAGCTCGTGAGTTTCTGCATAAGACCTAAGTGTGAAACCTTGTCAAATGCTTTGCTAAAATCTATGAATATCATATCGACAGACAGACCTTTATCTAAGGCTGCTATCCAATCCTCTCTCGCATTGAGTAAGTTGGTCAAGCACGAACGCTTGTTACGAAATCTATGTTGCTCAGTAGCCAACAGATTGTGTGAATCTATGAGGCTTAGCAACCTAACCCGAACTATCTTTTCAATCAACTTAACGACAATCCTAGTTAGACTGACAAGCTGGTAGTTAGATACGATCTGTCTCTGACCATCCTTAAATATAGGACTGACTACAGAGTCTTTCGAATCTCCAGGGAGTTGAGCGAGTGAAAGGGACATGTTGAAGATTGTCGCGCGCGGTTTTAAAATAATGTCCGCAAGGGATGACCGCAGCCGTGGACGTATAACATTATCCCTCCCTCCTTGCGAATTAAAACTCTATCACTTCTAATACAGATATGGCCTGCAATGATGGGAGAACATTCTATATCTATGATGAACCAAGTCTCTGCAACAACAATTGTATCGGGACTTAGTTCATCTACCATTAGACCTTGTTATTAATTTTTTGTGATTATTTATAGGTTTTAATTACTCCGTTCAACCTGTACAAACACTGCATTGCTTAAATAATTTATAAAGTTGATTTTCATCATTCATGTTTGCTGTTCACATGTTTTAATAATTACAGGTCACTAACTATACCTGTTCACATAAATACCTTGAGGGGATAGTTGAAATAAACTTTTGTAATTGGGTTTTGTATTTTTTTATTATTTCTCATGATTTGTACAACTACCATTATTGACTGTAAATTTTTATGCAGCGGCAAATCCCCAAATAAATAGTTATGTAAATGAGATGGAGTTTTGTTCTCTGAGCTGGATCGTTTGGTCGTGGAGCCTTCATCGTTCTTCTGAACGACATCATCAGCACAAACTTCAGGTAGAAGTGAAGTGTTCGAATTTCTCCATATGTGTTTCGAAGCTTGTTCTGTGCATCTTGATGTTGATTGGTTCCTATAAACCTTAAATTTATCATTGCTCACTTCTTCGTCTTGTTTGTGTCTCCCATTGGTTTGATTTTTGTTCCTATATTTGTGCATGATTTTTCCGATTGGTTGGTAAATTGGATTGATTTCAATATGTTTGTTGATTGCTGATTGACCTGAGTGCCAGGCTTCTAAAAATTCTCCGGTGTTTTTGGAGTTTCCTCTGTTTAAGATTTCCACATTTTTACAATCGAATGAATGTCCGCAGTTGTCCACGTGTATTGATATAGGTGAGGAGACATCATGGAGTTTGACTGCTAATTGTTGTTCGTGTAGCGAAGGTGAAGGGGGCGTCCGCTTTTTCCGATGTAGTGTTTTTCGCAGTTGGCATAACTTATTATTTAAAAAAAGTAAA